GCTAGCCAATTGGCACGTGTGGCCTAAGGGACAACCCGCGGGTCAATACGGACATTGATATCCAAGATATCAAATGGCCGTGGTTTTCCAAGGACGGACAGGGCCGACTCGCGCGAGCACCTCCTTTGTTTATGCGATCATGAAAAGCAAGTATTTGTTAGATGGGTCGACAAAAAAGTGTATTGGGGATGTTTGTTCCATTTGTGCCAAAAGGAATGCGTGAGGTTTACACCTGGTCACAGGAGATTAGAGGGAGACCCGTTTTGTATAGATGGTTGACAGGATGACGGAGATCACCCTCACCCATTGCATCCTATGAGGGGGGTGAAGCATGTACCCTTGGAGTTAAGGACCATTAGCTGACTCACAGCGGATGGGGATTCCCGAAAAGCGCGCCCCTGGAGAAAGGAGGTTCTTTTTTTGGTTGTACTGGTAGCTGCTAGTAGCTGTAGTGCACGGAAAGATGGTCTTAGCGACAGCAGGTCAATTGAAATTCCAGGTTTGATGTCGACACTTCGGCCCTGCACAAGTATGTACCCCACACGTCAACAAAGCTGAGGTTGCCAGGGAAAGCTATTCATGAATGAACTGCACCCAGACCATCCATGTGTGGCCTATCTACAAAAGGAGTGGTCGAAAAGGAGTCTATTTCGGCGATATCTTCCACACAACGGCAAGTGCCTTACTACTAGGAGCAAGAAGCTACTAGGAACAAGTGCCTTACTAGTAGTAACAGGTGCCTTACTAGTAGTAACCAAAAGCTACTAATACTAGTAGTCTCATAGGCCCGTGGATCAGACATATCACCTCCGATCCCACCCTCCGGGAAGCTGGAAGAGCCCAACCCAACATCGCAAAAACACACACCAAAAAAACTAGACAGAACTCCCTGGCCCTTCCCCCCCCCAAAAAAAAAGAGCTCCTCGCTCGTTGACTCCCTTCCTTTTGTGGAGGAGGCGATGCATGCATCTCCTGCGTTGGTGGAAGAGGTGCAAAAGATCATGGACGAGGCGCCCGCGCTCACGGCTCCGGGCACGGCAGCTGCCTTCGCCCCACTCTGCTCCTCCGAAACCACGCTGCTGCTCCGCGTTTGACACGTCGTTGGACACCGCCCGTTCGAGTGGATCGCCTGTCCAACAGGTCGACAACGACGTGGAAGTTTGATCTCGTTGCTTTGCGGTGCATCATTTGCTGAAACCGCGCTTTTCCGATGGTTTCGACCAGGGGGTGGCGTCGCCGCGAACTTTGCGTACGACGTCGCGTGATGGGGCGAGGATGGGTGCAAACAGGTGGAAAAAGGTTAAGAATGGGTACCAGTAAAATGGGTACAAGTACCGTTTTTTGGGGGGGTCATGTCCCATTTTCTAAGGTACTTTGGAGGGTCCAGGTATATAGTTATTTTCCAGCGAAAGTGAAGGGGTCAGCGATAAAGCAGAAGTGCACAAAGAAGCAAATATAAGCCAGACACTGCATGGGAATGGAATGGTTACCTGCATTAGGGTATATTACAGTCATATTGCAACTATTCTGTACATGGAGTGTTTGGGTAAGCAGACATAGGCAGACAAAGAGTTGGCCGTATTTCGTTTTTGGGCTGAATGAACCGCATCGCTGTGCATCACCCCCATGAATTGTGCTCTTCAACAACTGTGCTGGACACTGCAGCTCCATTTGGATCAGCTCGGTCAACCACACACCCCGAAAAGTGAATTTTCCAGCTTCTTCAAATGTGATTATGCTCGAGTCCCATCCAATGACTGTCTACAGGCCTTTTCGTGAAGCCCAGCAGATCAAGGTCGGCCCCTTTGAAGAAACAAGTTTGATGCAGAAACACCAGGGTTGGTTACGCCGCAGGCGACCACAGGGCTGGACATCGCGGTGGTCTTCGCAGCTTGGCCGAGTGGTCAGCCCGAAGAACCACTTCAAGCCTTCTCTCCCCGAAAAGTGTTTGTGGCCTCAAGAGTGATTTGTCAAGGGCATGGCTTTCCAACATATATATATATACATATACATATATATACTATATAATGGTCTCCACAACGACAACGACGACGAAAGAAGCAGTACACACGCAAACAATGTACAGAAGGGTGGCCTGCGGTTCTCCAAGGTAGATGACCACCAGGAGTATATAGTAAGCATGCAGCATGCATGTCTATGCCATTGAATGATCACGAAAGCTAGCCTTAGCTAGCTGGAGTTGCTCTTGCTTTAGCAAGTTAAGTGACGGGGTGGACGCACCTCAGAAACCTCAAATAATTGATTAAATCAATCTTATGGACCCCCCCCCCCCCCGCGGTTCGACTCCCCCCTGCGCGCGGTGAGCGGGACCACCAAGCAGCTGCAGCACACCAAGCATCTGCAGCGCCCAGCGCAGCAGCGGCAGCAGCAGCAGCAGCACCAGCAGCAGCAGCAGACCACCCAGCGGCGGCAGCAGCAGCAGCATACCCAACGCCGCGGCAGCAGCAGCCGCAGCAGACCACCCAGCGCCAGCAGCAGCAGCAGCAGCAGACGACCCGGCGCCTGCAGAGCACCCAGCGCAGCAGCGCCCAGCGCAGCAGCGGCAGCAGCAGCACCAGCAGCAGCAGCACCAGCAGCAGACCACCGGAAGCCCGGCTAGCTTTCGTTCACCCCCTCTGGCCTCAAGTCAATGTACCAAGTCTTCAAGATATTTGCATCCTTCAATATGCCTTCCAACGCTGGTTGCGCTTTGAAAAGAATGCATGCTTCAATATGTCTCTTAAAAGAGGCGTCGCTGGAGAACCTGTGGGTCAGGTGCCCAGCTGCGCCCGCCTCAGGAGCTTCGCTACAGCTTGCAACGCTCGGTGCTGGGCGTGTCAAGCCACCGGCGCTCCTTGTGCTCCTGCGCACCCAGCTGTGGCAGCCGGGGATCCCACCAAGTCCTTGTGCTGCGGGGGAAGCGGCTGATCTGGTTGGATGATAGCCAGGAGTTATCTCTGTGTGTGTGTGTTTAGAATCACCGAATTTTTGCACAAGGATGGATGGTTGATGCAGGTGTCCTGTGAACAATCCCCCAAATATTTGAGCGGAATGGAACGTATGGCTTGGGCTTTGGTGTGCCATTTTATGTTAAGATGCATTGTCCTTCTTGTAAAGAACAAACACCTAAGGTATCCTAAGGTTATTTAAAAAGAAAACTAGTGGGTTGGCAGTGGGTCAAAGCCAGGATACCTTGGTTGACCTACATGGAATTCCAGGTTACATGGTGTTTTTGTGCTCCAGGTTTGGACCTGTTGACCCTTAATCATTTGGTATTTTTGCTCGTGTTGTGTTGCTTTATGCGTTATGTAAAGTTGTTTTCTCCAGAGTTCTTGACCTTTCATGCACCGTAGCTGAGGATGAACACCGTGGCCACCCCGCCAAAAAAAAGAAACTCTATGTCACTGTTGTGACTACCCATAGGTATTGAACATTTTTACTGTATACCCTAGAAGTCCAAAGACTATATGTTGACCGACTGAAGTAAAGGAACTTCCTTTTTGGGTCACCTAAAGACCATTCATTGTATAGTCTTTGACTCCCAGGGTATACACTATTGCAACCATCCAAAATACACTGACTCTGACGAACACATCGACACGGGTTAGTGGACAATAGGCCCCGCGGGGGGGGTGTTCCACGTCCAACGTTCGTTCCAGGGAGAGAACAATACACCAAGACCAGGTGTTCACAAAACTACAGGTGACAGGATACCTGTTTGTCATGAAGGATACCATGTCCAGGCGCTCCCAACCACTCTACCGTTCGTTCCACCGGCGACTCGGAGCTCTTCCTGCGCCAGGTTTTGCCGCCTTTCCAGCGCGCGTGTCGGAGCTCTGTAGTGCCGGTGAGGTGGCGGGAACCGCGCGCCGTGTTGAGCGTGGGTCGGCGGAGGGTGGGCGATGGATCACATGCACTTGGGTCTTTTTTGGGGAAGGGTGGGCGAGACTAGGATAGATCAAGATGCTGGAATATGAAGACTGTATATTGATATATATTTTGGTGACGTGTACATCCAAAGTTGAATTCCAAACTGAGCTGTCTGAGCCTGAGGGTTTGGTGACCTCCGTATTCCTGTTCGACTTCGTTACCCTCTTTTTACTCCAGGGGTCGGAACCTTCCACGGTGCTTCAGCCATGTCAATGCCAAGAGGTTCCTCCGGTCACATGGCGAGCAAAGCGTGCGTACGAGCGACTGAAGAGGAAGAGAAGAAACAACACACAGAATAGCAGGTCAACAGGAGACACATAGGCACATCATGAGACTAGCCTTGACAGCACATATCATAATATGTCATAATCATCATAATCACAGTCCTACCAGAGATTCGAAAGGAATGTTGCTGACACCCTAAGGGAGTGGATAGTTGGCACATGTCGACACCCTCGCCTTCCAGCTAGCAGCCCATTTGGAACCTCTCAAGTAGGGGTTCTTTTGAAGTGACTGCAGGAAGCCCAATCTGAAGGAGCATCATCATGGGTAATCCAAACTGGAAGTACATCTGCAAAACAGATTGAAGTTCCTTGGTTCTGGACAGAAAGGAGGGGGCTATGAATTGATCCAAAAGACGCTACTGTAGCTCGGGGCTCTGGTCTCTTTCTTCGACCACAAGGGAGAATTGAGGTACATGTCGTAGGCACTGGCACCCAACCGCCGCTCGTCATCTGTTTCTAGACGTTTTCATGCACAGCACGCCGAAGAAGGCCGCCATTTGACGGATCCTGCATGTCTACAGCAGTTCTCCATGGATCCAGATAAAGTCTGAGCTGGTGATTGCAGACACGTTATGTCGCCTTGCAGGGTCCAGTCGTACCGAACCTGAGAAGGTATGTGCCACCACCGGCAGAGCCCAAGAACTGGGGGTTCTTGATGTGAGTTGTGAGCCCACCCACCCACAGCATACTGTGTCTAACTGTTCCAAGTGTTCCCATATGTCCCATGCAGGATCAACATTCTCCACTCCAGCCACACTTCTCCTGCCAGCTCCGCCTTTGTGACTAGTAGCCTCTTGCTACTAATAGCGATCCCCAGCCCCGCGTGCCACATGCGCCATGGCGGAGCCTCCCCAGTGTCGCTTCTGCTTGGGCGACGCGGGCGATGACGACGAGCTGGTGGCGCCGTGCGAGTGCCGTGGGGGGCAACGCTGGGTTCACTTGGCGATGCTTGGTTGGAAGCGAGGGAGACAGCTCATGGCAGGGTGCCCATGGAAGGGTGGAACTGGAGAGACGCCAGGAGCCAGGAGGGGTTTGCTTGGTCTTGATGATATGTTTGGATACAGGCAAGAAAGATCCACAGGGGTGATCAAGCGACGATTTGGTAACTGGTAACTGCCTGCTTGGTCCTTTGCTGTTAAATGAAGAAAAACACCGAAGAGAGGACTGCAGCCCAACACCATGTTTGAAGACCTCCCAGTTCACGGTCCACTCGTCCCAAGACCACCCATGACGAGTGGACCGTATGTTCAAACGTTGAAAACACGTCAAGCCGACCTTGGAATCCACCCGGTTCCCGGCACGAGAGTGCCGCACCGTGAAAAACCAGCTCGTTCGCTCCTGAGCCCTGCGCTATCAGCGCGCCGGCGCCGGAGCCCAACGACCATACATTTGTGGAACAGTGGAATAGTTATATACTTTTTAGGGCCATACATGGGCTAAACGCCATGTAATTATAACTATTCCATATTCCCAAGACCGCCATGGAGTGTTTGGGAACGCATCACATCACCCGAGGTGCTTGAGACGATGGCAAAGATCCATCTTGGTGACCCAACCAACCCATCCGGCTCTCATCCAGGACCGAGTCGGACCGGGCCATGGTAACAAGTTGAGCCCCTTCTGCGAGTTGGAGTGCGTTGGGTTCGGTGGCGTCTCTTCCCAATTGCTTGTTCCCAACTGTTTGGAGATGGTCGGAGATGATTGTTGCGCGGATCAAACTGCCATTCACGAGCTTTCAGGGACTTTGAAAGCCGAAGGTCACTGGTATACTGTCCGGGAAGGGATTCGTGGGAGCAGGTTTGGAGCTTCGGCTGGTTTCAGGCTTAGGAGATGTTCGGGTATTTCACTGACCTCTGCTCTAAAGTGTAAGGCATCCATCCAGGGTCAGCTTCTTCCCCGCTCCAGGAAGACCGGAGGATGACGCACTGCCAAGTCTGCCTGGCGAAGCTCACCTGCCCAGCGCTCTCGCGACATGAGATGATGCTGCAATTCACGGGGCAGGAGTCACTTGGATCAGTTCGGGTGCATGGTATATCCATGTATATATATATATACCAATGTTCGTAATAGTTTGGACATGTTTTTGATCAGCTTAATCACGTGAGCTGAATGTAACAAACAAACATGTCGGTCTGCCACAATACCACAAGTATAGAGCACAGAGGAAATTATAACAGCTGACAGGCTGACCCAAAGTATAGTTTGTACAGTGCTTGTACATGCTTGTGCCACCAAAGTCAGTGGGGTTGTGATCCCAATTGACTTGGCCTTTCTCCGCCAGTCGTAGCTGAGGCTGGCATCACTGGTCCGAGAGCAGAGCTTGATCTCATCCTCACAGGCGGGGCGGAGCCTTTTCGGAGCCTCACCGAGCCGCCGGAGGTCACGGTTGGTGCGGAGCCTTTTCGGAGTGGAAGGAGCCGCGACTGTTGGAAGGGAAGGGGTATGAAGGGCGGGGGTGGTTCAGGTTGGATTTTCTGATCATCGACGCCAAACAGCTTCTGGAATATGTCAGCCTCGGACGTTCAATTGAAGACATCAAAGAATCCATTCGACAGAGATTAGGGGTGTCCAACAACCACCCGGTTTATGGGTCCCGGACGTCCCGGCTGGGTTTTGGGACCTTTCGTGACCTCGACCGCTCCTATGGATTTTCCAACCAACTGGTCAAACCCCGCCGACACGTACAGCCCGAACCACAAAGAAGATGGGGAAAGTAACATAAATTAACTTATGAAATCTAGTAATTAACTTTCAGAAAGGAACCTGGATCAACCATAGTCAGCCTTTCAATGCAGTGGCTTCTTTGGAACAGCATCGGCCAGTCCAAAACATGGGGCGAGCGAGGCCTGGTCAGATGCCCTCTTCCATCACCTGCGGCGTGTCGCGGACCGTCGAAGCATCAACAATTTCGTGCATTGGAGTCGCTCCTCGGCTGGAGATCAAGACGGATTTGGTGATGATCAATGGAACATCGCCTGCCAGAATGGCTTTACATCTGCATGTTTGGCGGGGTGAGTCATCAATTGTCTAATCCATTATGGTCAAACACACATTCCTGTGTGGGTTTGGGGATGCTTTTATACTCAGTTGAAGGTCATTCAGTCATTCATATCAAAAATATCCAACACTGCCAAAATTCGCGGGCACCTGATCCGGTCGTCTACGTTTCTGATTGTAGTTAACAGTTTGGCGTATTGTTGTGTGTTCCAAATAGCACTGTGGTGCAGCCGGTGGGATCTAGGTGAAGGGCTATGATGGGGATTTGTACACCCAAGATTTGCCCAAAGGAAGATGAAAGTGGATATTTCATGTATGGCATTACTCTTTGGTTGGAAGAATATAATGTTCCTTCCCGCAAAGCTGGAATTCCCACTTCCATGCTATGCGAACGTGCACGCTATGCTTGTGTGATTTTGTTCTGGTGGGTGTTGCCCTTCAAAAGAACGTGTCTTGGACGGCATCGCAATATGATGGAGTGACTGACAGACCGTCAGTCAGTGACTCATGCTTCTTTGATTCTTTGGGGTCTTCCGTCTTGACGGTTCATCTACAAAATGAACGCGGCCTGCTTGGCAGAACTGACGTGTCAGTCCCACTGGTGTGAACACACCCAAACCCTCCATCAAATGCTTTTGTGTTTTCAAGCCCAGCTTGGGAGAACTAAAGATTCATGACTTCCAGGCTGGCCCACAACCTCATTCGCAGGGGGGCCCAGACCTCAGTTCAGTTGGTCATCCACCTCCATTTTCCTCCACCAACCTCAGGCAGCAGCTACCTGATCTACAACTGTGGACCAAAGCAGTTGGCTCTGAGCATTCCGGATGAAGCCAATCGTGAGGCGGTGCTGGACAACCTGGACAGCCTCTTGGTGGCCGTCTTTTCTTGGGTGTTTTTTTGAGCAAAATCCTTTGCCACTTGAACTTGACAATACTTCGTATAGACTCAAATGGGAAGAAACGAAGAAAAGAAGCAGCAGGAGAGAAGAAGCAGAAAAAGATGAAGAATATGGACAAACAAACAAAAAGAACAATAAACACATAAATAAACTAAAGACAAACAATATATATTGACATAGATCATTCTTGAGATACATTGATACAAGTTGATACTATACAAGAGTTACAAAAGAGACATAGACATAGGCTAGGGGGATTCCCATTACAGTATTAGGAGTTGTTGGAGTTCCTCCATGAACCGAATCATTCTGGCAATCAGAACGAAGACGCTGACGTGTTCAGCTACTTTTTCCTCATGATCATCATGCTGGTTGTGAGCCAATCTACTGTATGTATTCAGATTAGCGAACAATTTGAGTTGGAGAAGCAGAGCTACACTGTGCGTATCATCGCTTGGGAAGCTGGAACACAGGAACACTGTCTTATTTGTGAAAGACTTGAACCATACCGGCTTTTTGTTGATGTGGATGGTGGTTTATGCTCGTCTACCGTCTTCCTGCGCCTTGAAAAAACAATTTGGAGTGCCCTTCCACTCCAAAAAAGTAAGTGGAAGATCATTCTTCTGTTAGCTGGAACCGAGCATTGTGAAAGTCCGGGTCCTTTGGATTCTCCTCCGGTCACGACCGGGTGGATCCGTGCGACCGGGACCCGCCACGACCCGGACGTTCTTCACACCGTGGGTCCCGTGACGTTGGAAGTCCAAAGTGCATAGACATATAGGTGCGTACGATCATGAGCCCCAAAATGGGGGTGTATCAAGATAGGGAGACCTCCTTTCTCGCCCCTGGCTGGGTAGACTGGATGCTTTTGGTGTCTTTTGGTCTAATTTTCCGGAGCCTTCCAGTCCCCAAAGACGCCTTGATGGGACCTGGCATATTGATCAATTAGTGATCAGCATAAAGATTCCAGTTTCAGTGTTCGGGATTGAGAACGATTGTTCAGTGTTACGCCCTGGAAGAGGTCCACATAGAACCTGAAAAACATACACCAGTTTGGAGGAAAATCGTCTTTATTCTGGCCCATGCCATCAGGTTCCATGTGAGTCTCTTCCGGGGTGTAGTTTCAGTGTTTTGTTTTTCCGGGTGCCACGCTCCATATTTTTAGGCGCTGGGCACTTGGAGATCCAAGGGAAGCAGTACAGGCTGCTGAGGGAGGGGCCGTTGGCCCCAAGCATCTCGGTGTGAATGTGGTGAAATTTGGGTGTGTACCTCAATAGGGAGACCCCAACCCCAATAAGCCCTATGGATCCACATACCTTCTCAGAAGGTGATTGGAGACACTGTTATGTAGGTGCCGTTGTCGGGTCCAGTCGTACCGAACCTGAGGTTCGGTACGACTGGATTCCTAGGGAAGTAGACTGTAGACTGCTCGATTTTCCGAGCCTTCCACAGGGTCGTTGCCGGGGGTCGGTGCTCCCCAAATGAGCCACACGCCTTCGCCACCCCTTGGGCGCAGATGCACTCAGCGAGGATCACGGCGCCGTTTTGGGTACGGGGCCACCGTTGCTGGTCGTGCCTGGAAGCCTTCGACTTGTTGTAGTCATAGAAGAATATATTCACATGCCTGACACAATAGATATTGTGGAATCTACATCACACCGTAAATATATTAGTACCAACAGCAGGGTGTTTGCTTGAGGTGATTGAATGAAACCAGCTGGTCACCACAAAAGCCTGAACCTGTAGCAGCAGCTTCTACATGTAATGTATTTGAGGATCCAAAGCGCCTCGAATTGAGACTCGTGACCACGACCGAAAGCACACCAAACCCCGATGACCCCGTCCATCTCCGTTTGCAGAACTACTACATGGTGAGCCCCAAAATGGGGGTGTATCAAAATAGGGAGACACCCTTTCTCGCCGCTGGCTGGGTATACTGCTCTATTTTTCTCCTTCCAGCGGATCGAATGGGGGTCGGTCTCCCGACCTTTCAATACACATCCAGTTACACCCTACGACCAAATACGCAGTTTGGGGGACTCTGTAACCAGAGTGCCTTGGGTTTTGGGGATTCTGTACCAGAGTACCTTGGGATTCTGCAGAGTCCGACTGTTTAGGCACAGAGTCCTACGGTCTAGTCCTGCCCGGACTGGACTGCTGCATTGACTCAGTGACTCCACTCATGAGCAGCGCTGAAGCTGAGGTAGTCCACCATCGGAGCGCTTGGGCTGCAGATGCAGTTCTAGCTCCAAGTCCAGTTGGTTCCTAAAGACAGGGAATGAAGATCAACTGGAGCCTCTCAAGGTTTAAGACTCAGCTTGAGAAGGTAGATCCTAAAATTGTAGCTGAAGGTATGTTTGCATGTTCTAAAAGTTATTGTACTGTTTCATTATGTTTTTGCGTATCTAATATATTTAGCTAGTTGGACTAGGCAGAGCTGTCCGCTGTCCAAACCTCTCAGCCAACCAAAGAGGCTTGGAAGATAAGAACATATGAAGATTACGATGAATTGAAAAAGACAACAACCAAAACATACCAAAACTACTTTAGTTGTACTTGACTACTCACAAACCACGAAGAACTAGAACTGAGAACAAATCAGGCGGCACTGCATATAAATTTGTCATATATATATATATAGACGTGAGGGTGTGGGACCCGGCATTGGCATTTGGTTTATCAGCAGCGAGCGAATGGAAGCTAAACTGTCCTATATAGGGCTGGTCCTATACGAATGGCCAGCCGGTACTGTCAGCCGGAGAGTGTGAGCTGTGACCAACGACACACCACGCAATTCCAGCTCTTCAATCAGACACTTGCTCAAAGCTAAGCCAACTACTGTACAACAAAGCCATAAGCCATAATTCTGCAGCCAGATGAATGTTTTGGTTTATGGCATATCCTGACTCACGTAGATGGAAAAGGTTAAAAGGGAAAATGGCTACAGCTTTAGAATCTACACTCCTGCAGGCTAACATGGAGCCACTTGGTTGTTGAGGAAAGTGGTCTTCCACCGGTGATCTCTGAGGGTATGCTGACATAATTATGACTTGTCACATCCATGTCCTGACAATGTTCCACGCGCGCCTTTGTCCATGTTGAGGCCGACGACGGATGTCGCAGATGTGTCAAGCCCCAGCCTCTTCCAAGCGATTTCGGACGCTTGGAAGAGGGCACACTGTTAATTTTGTTTGCGAAGATCACTGGGAAAGAATGGGAAAGGAATGGTTCAATAAGAGCGAACATCCTGTGGCTCATTTTGACCCAGAATGCGAGTAGGTTCTTGGATAAGACATTGCGCGGCTCTATTGCATTCTCTAATCCAATGTTTATTCATGACAATTTGGAAAATGCCGAGAAATCCAGTTGCCAAAACAATGAGGAACCATTACTGGATTGTCCTACTTCCACAACAGACGTGTTCACCCCACTTGGTTCGGTCATAGCGAAATTCATTCACCCCATGTGTTTGCTGAACGGTCTGCCCCACTTTTACGTCGTTGCAATAATCCTATTGGACTTAGACTTGAGACCGGCTGGAGGATAGGCTTGGGAGAGGGATCTTGGACAACTCCCCACGATGGATTTGTCTCAAGCCTTCAGCTGCGACCGGCGAGATCCATGTCTTGGTGTCCTATCCCAGACGATCCATGGGAATTGGAAGAGTATGGAATAGGTACGGAGGATCAACTATCCAAAATATGGCCTTATCCCATCAAAAAGGAGGTCCAATGGATTTCTAGGTACCTAATATATCTATCTATATATATATATTTATACCCCATGTATGAATACACTGTTACGATCCGTACTAATGTAACAACGTAGGTAACTATTCCAGTTCCCATGGATTGTTTGGTGGTTCGACAGACGAGTCTCCGAGCTCGTCCCACTCTGCGATCGCGACACTCCGGAACTGACGGACTCCACCTCACCGATGAGTTCCAGGTGGTTGATTTCAGGGGTCAATGTCACCTTCCAGTCCTAGACAGGTGCTTGTTTAAGTGATTCAACTGTGACGCCCTGTGTAGGACTGGAATCTATGCCAATTGATCCCTGAAATCAACCAGTCCAATGTAGGTAAAGAGGCCAGTCCCATGGATGGTTCGGGTATATAAATTCATCTCAGTGAGGCCCTTCAAGTGCCAACGGAAGTGAATCTGCAGCTGGTGGATGACAGCGATCGGAGTGATGACAGAAGCTGGGCACAAGGATGAAACACCTTTTGCACATGGGATGTGGCTGGTAGTTGAAATCATCCTATTTTCGTCAGAAGGGGACCTTGAGATTTCCAGGTCCGACCGAGGATTCACTCCGCGCGGTTGTTTTTCTCAAATTCACCATTTGCGATGCTGGTCGTCTTTGGCCGGTTTTTCAGAGCAGTGCCTGGGTCGAAGTTGGCTAACTCGAAGATAGAAACGTATCCAGATGGCCACGAGTCCGGCAGATGGACGAGGACACGTTGCTTTTACTGTGCGAAGAGTGGATGCAAACCAATCTTGTGAGATCGAGCATTCACATTTAAACAAAGTGAAGCGGTTCTGACGGAATGAATCATTTTGGAGCAGTTCTGCTGCGAAAATCAGCGCTCCAACACAACACAGCTGGCTGATTCACGACTTATGGTGGAGCCCGATATGTAAACAACCCGTCTCCGGGTCCGGGCGCGTTGCAGAGCTGAGGCATCCGGGCGGTGAACTTGAGCAAAGCCATCAGTGAGGAGGTCAGCCGTACGCCAACCGGGAGCTTAACGGGCTTAGTCAGGTGTTGGTGCAGCTAAGAGACGGGTTTAGAAGGTTCTTCTTATTGCAGATGCAGACACACTTCTTTTTGAGTGGCCAACACTGGTAATTTGGCAGCCAGATTGTTGCCTTCCCCCCTGAAGTTCATAGATGTTCGCATATCGCCAGTATCTTCCTGGGAGATAATTGTGGTCAACATTGGTCAACTATATGAAAAAGGGATGTTGCTAGTTGCTCCCACGTACATGAACTCCAAAAGGAGTCATCCCGCTACAGTCACTACATGTCACTACAGTTGATATGAGTGCGCATATTACAATAGAAAGACCTCCCAGTTTGACCCGCTGGAAGAATGGGAATAGACCAAAACCCATTGGTTGGGGGTCTCCCTATTAGTGTAAAATATACACCCTTATGAATGGTCGGAACTTACCGAAATACTTTGGGTGTTGCTGTCCGGTGCTTTCACCGGTCAGCCACGAAACCATCGAGACCGCGGCTGTGGATTCCTCGCCAATCAACTCACATGGACCCTGACAATCCCCCCCCCTTGGAAGGTGGTTTCCTCTACCAGCTAGTAGTTTTGAGGATCTATGTTCGTCAGACAGAGGGTAGTCGTTCCATACATACTGACATACACGTGTCCTTGCTTGCAACCGATCAAGTGGGTTGTTGCATTTGTGAAGCACCTGGTCAACAAAAATAAAACCGTTCGTTAGGTGCAGAATCAGCCTCGCAAGACAGAAACCTCAATTGGAAGCAGACCGACATGAAACCTGAAAAAAGAACATCTTTGTCAAACCGGTGCTACGTCAGGGTTCCAAACTTTGCGCAGCAGCGTCAGGGTGTCAAACCGGGTGGCCCTGTGCAGGACCTCAGCGTCGAGGTCCAGCTGTTGCTGCGGAGGGCGATGAAGGCGTGTTCGTTCATGGAGTCACATGGAGTCGTATGAAGTCGATCTGATCGACTCTTCCGATCTGTCATGAGAACAGCACATCGATGCAAGACAGATCCAATCGATGCAAGACAGATCCAGCTGGCATCACTCCGATCGAAGGAGGGCGTGTTTTGGGGTTTACCGTCCAGCATTGGATTGAAAAAAGACCAGTCCGTTCCGGGGGTACCGGTCCCGGTGGCACAGTGGCACCCCTTTGTTTTTAAAAGGTGTGTACCTTGAGAGGGTCCAAGTATGTAAATATTGAACATGTTACTTTGAAAGAAGAGTTTGGTGGCATGCGGCTCTATCAGCTGCTTTCTGGTGGTGTGCAATCCAACTCACAGCATCCGAAGTCGGTCAGTTCCAGCAGATCATAACCAGTAAGTTACCGGAATCATACAACACAAACATGTGGATGTTTGTTCAGTTGTGAGTGTCGATTTGGCAAAAATTCAGATTTTGCAGTTCAGTACCTCCCCCACCCAAGTGCTTGCCTATGGATCAGACCCCGCCAGAAACAAGGGATCACAGACATGGAGTCTGGCACGACATGAAAACAACGGATGCCGCCCAGATTGGCCCGTTCTGTCGTGTAAAATGACGGATTCGATGAGCCCATGTTCCGCGTTCTGAATGGTCCGTTAATGGCCTCAGGTCTGTGTGTTCAATGACAAACAGAACTCTGAGGTGACTGGGGCTGGTGTGTACAAAAGCTTGTCCGGCCACTTAGTACAATAATAGTAAAGTACAACTTTATATATTCTATGTCGAGTATACGATAAATACCTATATACCAGCAGTTCCATGTCGGGATGCTTATTGCCGGGGTGCCCATGATCCACTGGATGGGATGACATCACCCCAGCGAGGCCGCGAAGATCGACTCTTTGCCCCGCGTGCAACACTTCCTGGCGGGCCCCTGCGCGACGTCCCAATGTTTGGCCGCTCGGACGGGCTGGCAAATGTGCGGTTCACAACGACTAAAAAAGGTGTGCAATATAGCCAGAGCAGGTCACAACATCCTAAGCAAGTAAACCCCGCAGATGGGTTGGTGTCATGTGGTCGGGATCCTGATGGTCCTCAAATCACCTGATGCCGTTCGTTGGGTGCGCTTCGACCGTTCGTTGGCTTGGAAAGATGAAAGACATGACCGGTGGCAGCCAATCATCCACAGTGGCCCTGGCGTATTTGTCAAAGGGCCCTTATAGAACAAGGTGAGCCGAGCTGCTTAGAACGCCGTCGCAACTGGGATCAAGGGCGACCGTGGCTGTTTTGGGCGCTGTTTGATTTGGCGAAACCCGACATATTTGGTCTGAAAACACACAGAGGGTTCTCACGTGCCATCGTTTCGCTTCCACCCTCAGAACATCGGGGGATCATGCAAAGCCTCAGAGTGTGGCAGATAAGAATGCCCACAATTGGCAGAGTATTGGTTTGATTCTCTTGGTAGACATACACCCACCTTCCAACCTTCTGCTAACGTCTTAGAGCGCGCCGATGAGGTGATGCTCCCGTCGAGGGACGGAAACGCGGACGTTCCCGGCTTCAAGGCGGTGGGGCGTCTGGGCAAAGCGCCGTGCTGTTGGGGGTGCATTTGAGGAAGAACTCAAAAAGATTGTTTGAATTGCTCAGATACTGTTGCAATGCAAGTAAAAGAGTTGTTGCAAACATGGTGGTGCAGTTTGTGCGAGGAACCCTTCTGAAAGACTAACTGTTGTCCTTTGTTTTTGTGTAAAGGTAGGCTGCCTGGCTGCTTGGTAGAGTTTTCTTATGAGATTTTGTCTTGGTATATATATATATAGTATATAGTCATATATACAGGTCTTGGTATGACTCGGTATATGACTCTTGGGCAAGTGCAGCTTGTCCAGTCATTGTCAGTTGCTACCCTTCACCCCAAGCCTAATCCATCCTAATCCTCTCCGAACCACTGTGAGGCTTTCCCTTCTTTGGGCATTGCCCTTGGCCGCGACTTGGCCGCCGCGCTGCGTGCCACCGCGCCGCCGGCCGCGCCGGCTGCGACGGAGCCCAGCGCGCCATCCCCAGCGCCGGAGCCAGAGCCACCGGTGGCCGAGCCGGTGGCGAAGCGGCAGAGGGTGGAGGCAGGAACCAGGGGGGTGGATCGGTGGAACTACCATATGTAGAGCATTTGTACAGGTGGTGTTGGAAGTGTGAGATTGTTTTTCTTTGCTGTGGATCAGTTGGTTGTATATAAGGATTATAATTATAGTAGCTGGTCGATTCCAACGATAGATCCCATGATCCCCACAGCTGGCGAAGATGCTTTGCGTTTAGGTGTACCAAGTGCTTGTGGTGAGCTGTCAGATTTGATCTCAGCTGATTGGCATCCTACGAGACACACCAAACTGTGTTGCAGGAAGTGGCAGAAGACACTGGAATACCTGAAGCGCATGAGCCAGAAGAGGATGTGGCTTCAGTTCCTTCATCGCACCAAATCCGGCAGGTTCAGGGTCTCTCGACTTGGGCATCTTGTGGTCGATGGATAGATCAGACTTATCAGATTCATTCTTCCACGGATTCCACATCATTCCACTCATGCTAACAGACTCACTCTGCACTCATGAAGTGACCAAACTTAACAACAACATGTATAGAATTAGACTTGAAATCTAGAGAAGAACAACCACCATCACCACCACCACAACAACAACAACAGCTATACAATGCTATCACAATGCTATACAGTAATACACACCACAAAAACATCATCCAACAAGACACGCCCCCCAAATCGCCCGGACTCCGGAATTGGTCTCTTCGACTCCTCCCTCCTTGCTCACTCCTCGAGGCCTCCGCCTCGGAGTTCTCGGACTTCTGGGGCCTCACCGCCGACGTGGCGCCCGACCTCCCCGACGACGACGGCTCCGCCTCCGACGGGTCCGCGCTCGAGGGGCCGGACGCGGCGGCGGCTTGGAGCGGGGCATGGTGGGGTGGGCTCGGTGGAGGGTTTGGTTGAAGGGATGAAGGGAGCAAATGGTTGATATGATCAGTTGGATGAGGAAGTTAGAGTGAATTTGTTGATTTGGGTGAGGTGATCAGTGTGATTGCTGCTTGGCTCCACCGAGATGAAAAGGACATACTGTAATCCATCATGATCCCTCCCATGATTCTTAAGCAGCCCTATTGAAAATAGATATGATTTAATGCAAATTGTTTTGAGCCAGTCTAGCTATAGGGGGAACAGATTAGTGGTGCTTGGGACAATTGATCAGAGGACCTCGGCAGAAATTACAATCTCTTGCTGAGCAGAGATCGACTGTCGCAAACCTGGATCTACTCGGAATACCCTGGATATCCCATACCCTTGGTTGAATCAGTATGGTCATTCCCGGGCCCATTTGAACCTTGTGCAGAACATCCGCTGCCCCGACGACTTCTACGTTCTACGCTGGGCGCATTTGTTCAGAAACCCCAGCAAAGTCTCGGGCCCCCACCGAAAAGGAGGAGCCGTTAGAGCCGAAAAAAAACCTGGTTCAGTTCTGATTTGGAAGGCTTAGACGGGCGTCCCGTCGCCACGGTGCCGTCTTAGACGTGCCGTCTATATATAGCTATAGGACTGTGGCCGCTGGTCGTCGGTCCTATCCTGGTCGAACGACGGACATCGCAGTGCTCGACAGAGATCCAAGGAGTCGCGAGTCGCAGGGTGTATATTTGAAAGAAGGAGATACCCTGCATTCAATGGGTAGACGGATCGATTTTCGGAACCGAACCCACATCCGGGGGGGGTGCCTGGAAGGTCTCCCTGTACTATCCCTAGATGGCGAAAGGCCTTAGGGGTCTATCCTCATCCAGACGAAAGGATCTGAGTGTTTACTTACATGAATGATCTATACATGATGTATCATGACGTCCCTATTTCATATACATGGATGGTCTATAGGCATATTTTCGTTTGGAGGTTGTCGTGGGGTCGTGGGCCCAAGTGTCCGTGGTTTGGGGCAAGCAGCAATGAACTGATCGAGGATATGGTGGTGAGCGTGGCGGCAGAATCCATCTACGACGTGGCCGGGAGCATGCGTTGCTCAACTGAGCATAGCGTCACTGGTGATTAGAGTGTTCAACAAAGTGGAGAGCATAAATATGTTTTGCTGGACTAAATCAGGTAGCCATCCATAACTAGTGCCACAACTATATAGGCCATATACGTTTGACTTTGAAGCTCTCCGTGGTCTGAGACCGCGAGCTATATAGGCCATATATAGATCCATATGAGGTTCCATTACAGCAATCCATTTACAACTGCACTAAGACTTATAGTACATATGAATACATATGACTCTCATGTCCGTCCTTTCCTCGCTCCGCTCCGCTCTCGCGACGCGGCGAAGAGGCATCGAAGGCACCGAAGGCGCAGAGCCAACGCTGCGGATCTTCTGGGGCGAGGCGCGGTGGCAGCGCACGCAGCTGCTGGGAGAACTGGCACGAGACTTGGTGAAGGGTGAGGGTGATCCATGAGATGCTCCTTTGTGAAGATGGAATCTTATCCTATGTGTTTTATACGTGTGTTGTGGTGTTCTAATGCTCTTTGGGAAAAGGTGTGGTTGCCATAGGAGATCTGAGACTACTGAGTGCGCAATACGCCACTCCTTTTGCCAACTGTGATATTCAGAAGTTGATTTTTTAGAGCCGGAATCAAACTTGTCAGATTCAATTGTTTGTTAGTTAGTGCAGATTGCAAAATGAGATCTGCTTTTTTAGGCCTAAGCTCCCGTTATCTTGGGGGAATGAGGATCCATCCACTTGGCAAGTGATAGCTGGTGCGATGGTCGTCCACGACCTAGCTGGTGCGATGGTCATGTGAGAATCAAGCAGCTCAATTACCAGCTAGAGGCAGCAGGGGTGCCAGCGTGCCAGCTTGGGTGCCAGTGGCTCGCCCATGACAGCCTAGTCAGACATGAAAGTTCTTGTTACCAGTCATGCGAAGCTGCAAGACCATGGAAGACCTGAACCCTTCTGGTTTGAGGTCTCCTTTACAAGTGGGTTCTGAGGGGTCATGCACGTTCATTGGTTGTTCGCGCAGTTCTTTGAAACCAGATCTGGCAAGTGCAGGATGTCTCCAAACATGACCAACGGCCAACCATGTTATCACTACCCTGAGAAGATTTGAACAACCCCACATCAACCCACAGCAATAGGTCTTCTTTCGGTGGCTCCGCCTAGACCAAGCGCCAACTTTCGATGACGTCATGACGTCGGCTCCTTTCCCTGTTTCCATGGAGCCAGGGCCGATGGGACTCCTTGAACTCCCAGTGGCCCGTTTTCACTTCGTTCTAAGGAGGGGATTGGGGCCTTTGCCAGGCCGCCCCGGCAGATTTGCAGCGAAGCGCCAGGCGAGGAAGGGTCATGCAGCGAGAGATGATGGAAACTCCGAAGGATTAGAGTTTCTTGGATTTTGAGAATGCTGATGAGAGAAATCTGGGCCTTTAGCTGTCGAATGTGAAAGTGATATACAGGTCTGGTGGCCTTCCTCCGGGTGGGTTCTTTGTTTTTGGTGTCATGGCCTTGTCAGACAAGGCCATGACACCAAGTGTGAGTGAAGAAAGACCCGAAGAGACGACCCTCTCCATGCCACCAATGGAGACGACCCTGAAGAGACGACCGTCCAACTCGACCCTGTCGAGTTGGACCACGAGATGATTCAGGCCCAACCTCGCCTTACACCCATCGACTCTTAAGACTTAAGCAAGACATAAATATAAGCATATATATATAATATATTATATATGATATATATATATAATAGACTATATATATACATATACATATATGTATATATACATTTCATATATATATATATACATATTCCATACATGGGTGTGTATTTGAATAGGGAGACCCTCTAAATTCGACCTTGTGGAAGAAGGATGCTTGGGGGGGGTTGTGGGGGTTCCCTATTAAACACATACAACCACATGGAGTGTTGAGATATGTTTTTCATTCACCTGGGGGCCCTGAGCATCGCCCATGAGGAGCCTTTGGCGCCAGCTCCTCGATGATGAGCGGCCGGTCTACGCACCGCGCAGCGAGATGACACGGTCAGAGTGCCACATCGTTTCAGATGGAGGAGACTAGAATCTAGAGCTGAAAAGACATGAACAAATAGACCATCATGGTGCAATTCTGCACCAACCAAGCAAGGGTCTACCTTAGATGTCTACCCTTTCAATCCTTTCTCAGCGCAGCGCAGCGCGCGCAGCGCAGCGCGTCGCAGAATCGCACGGCTGCCTGCCGGTGCATCGAAAAAAAGCGCTCCATCGCGCGGAAAAAGAGCAGAGGAGGCAAGTGAATCCCCCTTGATTTCAGGCAAAAACCGCTTTTTGGTTAGATAACATTTGATAACCAGGTAATTTTTGTTCTAGAAACTCGAACCGTAGACTGAACAAAATCCTGGTTCCCTTCTTTTGTGGTCACTGGCCGGGTTCAACTATGTTCCACTTGGGGAGACATGCTAGGTTCCCCTAAGCATCACATCCCGTGGCAGAATGAAACCACGGAAGGGATCCACACCACTGTGTTCTTTTAAACTTGGCTTTGCTCATACAAGGTGATCTGTATTGATCTTTGTGTTTTTCCCCTTTCCTTTAGCGAAATATGTTCTTTTTTCAGTTATTGCAAGTTCTTTGTCAAGCTATACATTGCTGCTACGAGTCCCCGGCTTGTGGCGATGGTGAAGGATCCCTAGAGCTTGTGGCAATTCCGTTTCCCAGACGATCCATTCACCACCAAAAACTGCCAGCATGTAGGCCATACTTGCTTATATAGATCATCCGGGTGTTGGTGCTTGATCAATGTCTTCTTCTCTTCGACTTGCAGAAAAAATCCAGAGAAGACCTGTCCACCGGAGAAGAAAAAAAGGACCGTCCAACGCTGCCAGGTGAGTTTCTCTACGCCCATGGACGAGGTGGTGAATCAAACCCGAAGCTGGTGGCGCCACTCGACTGCGGATCGTCTCGTCACCATCCGGATCCATCAGAACCTGGGCGAAAGAAGAGAAGCCTCAGTTCGCCACTGGTGAAGCTTCCTGGGGCACCGGTGTAGCTGGAACTTTGAAGTGGAGAGCTTCAGAAGGGCTTCTTGTGACCTGTGTTGAAAGGCTTCAATGACGGACTGTTGCTTCTCTGCCCTAAAGGATGGGGATGTGGTACACCAACAAAACTTTAAAGAAACGTTCCGCACCCAGAAGAAAAGCAGCGAGTTTAATTTGTATTACTGCATATCACTTACTGTCGATGATCTAGTAGATGTGCCAGAAGCTGAAGGTCAGAATGCAAAGCTGAAGGTCTTTGGAACGGATTCCATGCAGATTGAACCATCACTCCCCAACGCCCTGGGTGAGGATTTTCGCCCAAAAGACCATAGACCATGCCGGACCGGCAGCATGAGAAGGAGATCCAAGGTGAAAGAAGCAGATCCAAGTATTGCTTGTGTTGGACCAAGGGAGACTCTGAAGAAGACATCGGATGTTCTTGAAGGCTATCAACAGGCCGATCATTCTCTTTGAGGTGATTCTCTCAAATTGTAGGTGCCCCATAAAAGGTTCCTTCTTTCCAGTACTAGTAACCGGTACGGTATGTTTGGAGGTCCCTGCGATATCACAACGGCCGGAGCTCAATAAGCATAAATTTTTGAGCCTGGTTGTGTTCAGCTCACAGGTGAAGCAACAGAGAGTTCTTCTCAAGAGGTGGGCGGCAAGGGTTTGTTGTGTTGTTTCGCTTCATAGGCCTGCTATGTCGGTCATTTCACAGCGCCCTACTTTGGAAAGGGAACCTTGACAAGTCCAATCTTAAATCCGCAATTTGTCATTTGTATTGATTTACTGAGATCGTTGGACTGAGTTCAAGTTGGCACTGTGTCACAGGATTTACTTCAAGTCAGAAGCACATCATAAGGAGTAGCTGAGTAGACACACATCATGAATGTGTTGCTTACTTCATGTCCTAATTGTCCCTTAGCTTAGTACTGTAGAGTTGAGCTCCTGGTCCTTCAGAGTTAGAGAAGTCACCGATTTAATTTTTTGCTTGTCCCTGAGCTTGGTCTATTAGCATGTTCACCACTTTGGAACGATGCTGATTTGTGAAATAATATATAAAGAAGTAAGGTAAACAGTCGTTGGCTAGCTAAGTGACAGCAGTTCAAACTTTCCTTGCCCAGGGCCTGGGAGCTACTGTATATGTTTAGTATTGTCTACTTAGTTACTTGTTCATACTTGTTCAATGTTTTCGTGTGGTGCCTTTTGAGTCCAGTTAGTTACGTTTGGCCCGTTCACCTACAGGGTCCACAGAACCCATCTCCCCATCACCAAGTGTATCCTTACGTAGTCTGACAGTCGCTGTTTTAGACCACTCTTGCTTCACGGGTCATGTTACTTGTTATTCCCAGAGGATCTCGGAACCACTGGTTACCCCCTGGTTTGCCTCAAGCCAGTGCGTGTTGTCTGTCTTGGCCGAAGATTTGCAGGGTCGCTCGCGACACGGAGAGCCATGCCATGGTGGGGCCCGGTGGCGGTCGAACTGCCAGTCACTGAAAGGTCTCGTGGCTCTGATGAATCATACGCGACCGGCGGAAGCAGATACTTACTTGCAGAGTGGAGTGTGTTTTTTTGATTTGTTGATCAAAGTTGGATGATGAGCGATTGGTTGTTTGAGAGTTCCAGTATCATGGCCAAGTGAGGAGGCGTGAGCGATGTGAGCATAGATGAGAGCGATCGGCCGGCCAAGGCTGCCAAGTTGACCGAACCTTCGGAAGATATTTTTGGAAGTGTTTAAGATGCTTTAAGAATCAAGTGAGATGGGATTTATGTTCAATGACATCAAAGCAAAGTTCATAGATACAATAATAGTCCAATTAATCATGGTCATGGAAGTAGAAAACTACCCCTGGATCACTATGTTCCTTTACAAACAAAGTGGTTTTCCACTTCCATGAGTCTTCCAGGCAGTGGAGTCAACAGTCGTCAACCATGGCCTGTCTGGGACCACTGGACCTGTGATCTCCACCGGAGACCCACCGAGTTGGTTCACTTTCAAGAATAAGTAGACCGTCTATACTACTGCCAGAGCAAAGTAGTATGGTCAGACTGTATAGTAGTAGGCTTTACAGTAGTGTGACAGTATGACCATACTTTGCTAGAACCACTCTCATGCCGCAAGCGGAACTCTTTTGCTTATTCTTATTGTAGGACTGTTCTGCTTGGAGACTCCAGGGTCGGTTTCTTTTGTGGTGTCGTGGAATCTCCAAGGAATCTCCAGCGATACTTCCACAGATCATCCTTGAGGTTCCTGGTTGTAATGTGACTGAATCTGATAAGATTCAAGGCACATACAGACCTGTCAGCACCTGTCATCACGACAAGCCAGTCTACAAGAAGCTTGGGCCTGACACCACGAACTCCTATATTTACTTCTCTAAGCGAGGGGGTGGAGCATGCTGCTGGTGGTTCGGCCCAGAGGTTGGAGGAGACGAAGTGTGGGCCTTCAACGCAGGCTGCGACATGGATAACCCATTAGCGCCCCCAGCTGTTGGTTGGAGGGCTACCCACGATGGTTCAGTGGACGACAGATTGCAGATAATGACTATTGGAGGAGGTCATTCTAGAATTTCATCCAGTTCAAACTGTGAAGAGACATGCCAAACTCTTCAGCAAGCTCTTTCAGTCGAACGAAAAGAGCGAGAACGTCTCGAACTTGCTTTGCAAGAGGAGGTACGAAAAGTGGCTGCTGCAAAGGTGACAAAGAGGCCCCTGTTTGTGGTATCAAATTGACGGTTGTTTTGTTCCTCGACAGGCTCGAAAGATATCCCAAAATACTCACCTTTAGCAATTGCTCATTTTTGTGGTTTACTGTAGCCACATCCAATCGAAGGTTCTGGAAAGATAGACGCAAAGCTGAAAGAGAAAGGCGGGACCTTGTTGAAGATGCTTTAGCCCAAGCACAAGAGACGCTTCGGGACTTTGAGAATCTGCTTGCTGCTGAGCGAGAGAAGGTCCAGGTTGCTGAGAAGAAGATAGAGGAGATGCAGGATCAATATTCAGCACGCTTGGAGGGACAAAAGCAGATCTCCAGAATGGATGGGAATAGGGGTGCATGTTGGCAGTATGAGGAGCGTGGAGGCTGGCATGCGGTGACACCTGAGGGAAATGATCAGATGCATCAGGCTTATTTGTCCTACCTTCGTGATCCAACCTGTCACAATCGCTTCGCGACGATCAGTGTTGCTGGAGTAGATCGGCAGGTTGACTATGAGTTAATGACGCAAAAGCGTTGTGGTACGAACAAAGTTCGCCGGATTCGTATTTTGCCAGGAGTGCCCAAGCAGTGGCTCACCACGGCTGCTTGCTTGTTGCAACAGACTGATCAGTTGCAGTCCTTCTATGTTAACATCACTGATGATTCGTACATTCACGACAAAGTACGTGAAGTTCTGCAGTTCACTGGACATGGGCAGGATGGCTCACAACAATGCTCTTGTATGAAGACAGCAACGGTCAAATCAGTGCACCGCATTGAGAACTGGAAACTTTGGCAAGCCTACAAGCTAAGACGCCAAATCTTGCGGATGGGGCACTCAAGTCAAGGGGTTTGGGTCACACCTGTGCCTTTGGACCTTGATGCGTTTGATGCTGGATGTGGCGTAAGCACGATAATGACAAACAACCAAGGTGTGTTTGACTGTGGCGAGACTTTGGCTCTAGATATAGATGAGAAGATTCTGTTGCATGGCACCAGTTGGGACTGCGTTAATTCCATTGTTTGCAGTGGCTTTGATCATCGGACGTGCCACCGTGGTATGTACGGTGATGGGGTCTACTTTGCATCAGCTGCATGCAAGTCCCATCAGTACACGTGCAAGGATCATAAATATGCCTGCGACTGCAAGTGCGAAAGGGCGTTGATTATTGCCCGTGTGGCACTTGGTGATGCATACTATGCAAAGGAAACAAGATACAAGGAACGGAGGCCGCCAGTGAGAAATAGCAAATGCGGAGTGACATACGATTCCATTGTTGTCAATCCTGGTCCTATCAACGGCCACCACAATGCAGCCCAGGTTCATCAGGAGTTTGTGATTTGCCAGATGGAACAGGCATATCCTTGCTATGTGGTCAAGTATCAAGTGTGATTTGCTTAGCGTCGTAGAGCCACCAGTGCCACCGGGGTCAACCGAGCTTCCGTGCCACCCGGCTGGCCCAAAACACCTTGCGTGCTGGCAGCCAAAAGCAGCTGCTCGTTCTAGCCTGCTAGCTTGCTGCA